CAATCAAATAACTACATTTACAGGCCTGGAGAGTGTTTTAGTAGACATGGACCTGTTTATTAAATCTAAGAACGGGAACATAGTCATTTCAGCCTCTAAGCCGAAAATGTGTGATTTTAACAAGTGACATACCCGCCTTCGGTCTGAGTTAAATTTTTGATTTTGGAAAAAAATATTTCATCTTTCAGAGGAATCGAGGCGTTTAGAAGGAATGAAACAAATAATTAATAATTTAAAAAAGACACTACTCCCAATAAAGAATCTAGAATAAGAGCGAAGAAGGCAATGAGAGATAGCGAGTTTGTTATTGGCAAAAATAATCATTAAATCACCATAAAGTGGTTCGGAGAAGGGGGTAGGTAGGAGAAGGGGGTAGGTAGGAGAAAGAAGAAAACATCCAAGTTAATCTTGACGAGTTATTTTAGGCGAACCTCTGGTAGTTTAACTTTGGTCCATTTGATTAGATCAATCGCGGGTAGAGTACTAAGACCCAGTTACAACAGACGGAGGTATTCGGTACCTGTACACCAGAGTGGCTTTCAGGCATCTCTTCGAGGGGTGAGGGAGGGGGTGGGGATACTGCCTCCCACCATTAGACGAAATGAAAAAAAAAAGAAATTTTACCACCACGAGGGAAAAAAATTGTCTAAAAAAGAAAACATGTCATAAAATGTTCTTGTTTGACACATTCAATACCTATTTGATTGTAAGCTCTATGTTAAAGCTAAAACCATTTGATAAACATTTGTTAACGCTGAACCCAGTACATTATATATGCGCATCTTGGAGTTGTTTTCTTTCCCTATTTCTTTGGCGACCAAAAAAAATGTTTGCCGCATTTCGAGAGGTTTTACATCACTTGCTTTAATCTGCAGACGCAAGGTGACGTCACGTCCGGATTCCGCGTCAGCCGTCTCGGCTGCTTGGCGGACTAAACGTCGCTGCCGGATATAAAATTAGAACATTCGTAAATATAGAACATTTGGTCCCTACACCGCCATCCATAAACAAAAACTGGGTTACCGCTGAATCACTTTAGATTTTTATTTTTAAATAAATATTCAATGTTTATTTTTTAGTTTAAAAATAGACTATTTCTGTGCTGATAAAAAAGCAGAAGTTTGAACAACTACGGGAGGGATAAAAGGATCTTTGGTCCATATTTGATTTCAGTTGGGAGCTAATCATTTAAAAATAAAAAAATTATTAGACGAATGGGCAGATTGATTTTCTATATAAGAAAGGCGAAATAATTTAAGACTACGCGGAGTGATCTCTATGACACAAAAAAAAACTTTAGTCATGGTACAAATTTAGACACCCGACACAAAAGACCACCCCCCCCCACCCGAACTGGTACAAATACAACAAATCCAACACACACAAAGCCCCCCCCCCCCCTTTCCAGTCCTACTACAAATTTAGACACCCCGACGCAAAAGCCGCCCCCCCCCCCCTTCAGTATTGGTACAAATGTAAAAACCCCAACACATGCAAAGGCCCCCCCCCCCCCTCCCCATCAGTATTGGTACAAATGTAAACACCCCAACACACACAAAAGCCTCCCCCAGTCCTACTACAAATTTAGACACCCCTAAAGCCCCCTCACCTGGGTGCATGTTTTTCTAGCCTACACTTTGCCAGATTTTGGACACGATATTTTTAACACAAATAAAAAAAAAACGGAAACGGAAACGAAAGAAAAAAATTAAATGGTTATCTTGTGAACTACTTCTTCTTGACCTCCTATATAGAGTTTTTAGAGTGAGAAAAAAAATAACACACGGTAAGGGGGTGCGGTGCAACAACTAGATACAAAAACTAAAAAGGGCGGGAAGTTTGAAAATTCGATAAGATACTAAGTGGGTAGTCTAACGGATTTATCACCCAACGAGAAGACGTACTATGTTTTTAAATGGGGAGAAACCAAACAGGCGGCTAACACTACTACGTGCCATATTTATATGGCAAGTACACCACCCCTTCCCTCGGAGGAACAATAAATAAATGTATACAGAAATATTAGATTAAACCAGTGTCTGTCACCCAGAGGCGTAGCGAGGGGGAGGGGGTACATATGTCTCAGGCGCCGACCCTAGGGGGCGCGTAAATGGGTTGAAAAAAAAAATTAAAAGCTCATTTAGCTGCAGTTTTGCATTATTAATATAAAAAAATATGGGGGGGGGGGGGCAAATTGAAAGTTTGTCCCGACGCCGGGAAGATGGCTACGCCTCTGCTGTCATCCCACGAAATTACAAGTGCCATAACCACCCCCCTGCAGAAAAATATCTGAAAGAAACCCTGTTTATCACGGTTAGATTCTAAGTTACCTTTTCAATAAAAGAAAAATATTGCGTCCATTTAAAAACGGGGTCTTTGTGTGTGGGACAAAGCATAACCGTGATTTACCTCCCCTTTATAGGAGTTGGCGTTTGGGGTAAGTTTCATATCCATTGCTATAGATTGTCATTGAATTATTGATCAACTACAAAGATCAAATTCCAACAGAATTTGTTTTTGTGTGTGTTATGTGTCACGTCGTCTCAGGTATACCGTGACAAGGTGCGACATTCCAGGCTAAAGCATTGTGGTAGGGCTTTTGTTAAAGGGGTGAGGAGGGTTCAGGGTGGTGGAGAGTTCAGGGTGGTGGAGGGTTCATGGTGGTGGAGGGTTCAGGGTGGTGGAGGGTTCAGGGTGGTGGAGGGTTCAGGGTGGTGGAGAGTTCAGTGTGGTGGAGAGTTCAGGGTGGTGGAGGGTTCATGGTGGTGGAGGGTTCATGGTGGTGGAGGGTTCATGGTGGTGGAGGGTTCATGGTGGTGGAGGGTTGGGGTCGACGGGTACACTGGTTTTTGGCAAGGGGGTCCAGCATGACGGAGGGTTCGGGGTGGTGGAGTGTTCAGGGTGGTGGAGGGTTCAGGGTGGTGGAGGGTTGGGGTCGACTGGTACACTGGTTTTTGGCAAGGGGGTTCAGGATGGCGGGGGGTTCAGGATGGCGGAGGGTTCAGCGTGGTGGAGGGTTCGAGTCGAAGGGTACTCCGGTTTTTGGCAAGAGGGCTCAGGGTGGTGGAGGGTCAATGTGGTGCAGCTGTGTCTAGGCGGGGGCGGGGGGGGGGGGGCTGTAGGGGAAGAATGATGGCACAAGCTTTCAATGGTAGAGGAAGGGTGTTGCGTGGAGTTAAGCCCTGTCAAGAGTTTAACAAGAAAACTTCCCACAATCTCGCCCCAATAACAAAACCTCGCTCAATCTCGCCCCAACAACAAAACCTCGCTCAATCTCGCCCCAACAACAAAACCTCGCACAATCTCGCCCCAACAACAAAACCTCGCCCAATCTCGTTCCAACAACAAAACCTCGCCACATCTCGCCCCAACAACCAAACTCAACCCATGAGTTCTGACCTGACCTGAACTGTAGACTTTGATCTAGCAAGTCAGGGCACGAAGTCCAGGCATGAAGTCAGGACATAGAAATCTGGACAGCCCAGGCAGTGTTCACCTGATTATTTAGATTTCATGACCACATTTTTGGAGGGAAATGTGAGACAGCTGCGGGTTTTGTTGTTTCTTTTTTTTGGGGGGGGGGGGGGGGGGGGCATACAAATTTCACAAATAAGAACATGTGGTTGAATTTGAAGTACGAAGTTTTAAGACATTTTTATCGCAATAATGTTCGAGATTCTCGACAAGATTACCCCAAGCCTGAGCGAGAACTTAGAATAGTATGACGACCACATGGAACGACGTGGTCTGGAGGTAGATGCAGGACTTCTAACCTGAAAGTCTGAGTGCGGATCCCGGTCTAGAATCCGTAGGATTTCCTCTATGCCCACCCAGTTGCTCATATTAGGGGAGATAAAGACTCATGTGCATCAGTGTTTCTTCCAAAACATTTTCTTGGAGGGGGGGGGGGGGATAGGGGAGGAGGGGGACTAAAATTACCGGTGGGGCGCTCACTGTTAAAAGTATAAAAATTTCTCCGTCTCACCCCCCCCCCCCCCCCCCCGAAGAGATGCCTGAAAGAAACTCTGATGTGCATTGAAGCAACCATACTATCCCTTCATGGAAACATGAACTCTTCTTCACCTGCCACATTGACCGTCGAAAGGTATCTTTATGTTTATGAAGACCACACTGCTGAACAATACCTACACAATTTAAAACACGCACACCACTAATACTACTATATCGTGTATATATCGACTGTTTTTAATTTATCAAAACATCTTATTAAGAAATAGATCTAAGTACTAAGCAATATCAACTGACCACAGGAAGAAGCCTGCGATTATCTATAACTATTTTCGCTGACCAATTTTTTAAACAATTCCCATTGACCACTAATGACGCGGGTCCCCGTGGGAAAGATGTCTCACCCGTTTAGGGGTATCATATTTATTTATCGCCCTTTAAAAATCGCCGGTACGTGCCCGGGCAATGGATGAGGCTCACCCGAGAGCCAATCTAGACCAAAGACCGGTGGTATTACGAGGTCATTGACCCCGTGGTCGTTAAAATGGCGGAAATCGGATCTACCCGAAATATCTGTATTGAGATGGTTTTTATGAATGTGTGGATTTTGGTGTTAAGATGTTCGTAAAAATAGTTTTATTATGATGGAGTGTGGAGATTTATCACAATTTTGAGTATGAGTTGCTTTGTGTGTAGTGGTTTTGTACGTGTGGTTTTTTTTTATCTGGTTGGTATTTTAGGGTGTTTTATGATTGTATTTGGGAGTTGGTGTTTTTGTGTGACTTTGTTCACAAGTTTTGGTGTGGGTTTGTGTTTTTGTGTGGCTTTATATACACGTTTTGGGGTAGGTTATTTTAGGAGTCTTTGTGTGTGTTGCGTACTAGTTTTGTTACGTGGCCTTGGGTATACATTTGTGTGTGGGTTGGGGTATACGTTTGTGTGTGAGTTGGGGTATACATTTGTGTCTGGGTTGGGGTATACTTTTGTGTGTGGGTCGGTACATGTAGGATCTAATGTGACCATAGACTCACCTTCCGTACTGTTGATTTATCATCCACATCGGGACTTGAGCTTCCGCTCCGGTCACTTTCGCTTTTGCTTCCATTGATCAGAGCACCGCCATCTTTTAGCACTGCTCCGTTGACCAAAACGCCATTTTTGAGCACTGCTCTTCTTTCATGAGCACTATCTTTTAGCAATGTTTCACTGGCACCATTGTTTAGCACAGCTCCATTGCTTAAGGATCCATCTTTCAGCATCATCCCAGTAGATAACCTATCCGCACTCAACGATTCTTTAATATTCCCCATTCCACCGTTCTCATTTTTCCTAAACCCTGTTTCCTCCGAATTCCCTTTGCTTAAAATGTCCCTAGAATTCACATCCGCACCGTCTTTATCCGGAAGTAAAACTTTTTCCGTATTGTCATTACAGTCTTTGAGTACTTGCTTTTCAGAATTTCTGGGCGGAGTTTTCGGCCACGCCTTCTCCATATCATCCAACACGGCCTCCGTGTCGTTAGCATCTAGATCGTACTCCAGCAGGCACTTCTTGATCGTCTTGTCTATGAACACCTCTAAGTCTGGAATACAGTACATGAACTCCATCTCCACCCGGCCGTTTGGTAAGCTGTCTGTGACTGAAACTCCACTTCCGGTGGATATTTTAGCAGGCGCTGCTTTGGGCCTGTCTTTCTGGCACAGCGACGCGTTCCTTCCGGAGATAATGGATTTTAATATGTTCATGAATAAAGTGTGATCGTGACTTAGATACACCAGACATCAGCCGTATTTGCATACTAGCTCTTTTCAACAACCGATTGTTGACTTATACCAGATATACGAATTGATGTTATGACTTCTTTAAGCAATATTCAAAGAACTTCTGGTCCAAGTAGGAGCCATTGAGAAATCAAAATAACTAACAAGTAACCAGAAAATCTAACAAACTACAAGGTTAACAGTCATCAGCTTTATAACATTGTGCTTGTTTCGTAAAATTTGATCCAACTTTTAAAGTCCTCAAGATATTTATGATCCCAATGCACGTCTGAAATACATTTAAAAAAAAAGAAATTGTTAATATTAAGATTTTAAACAAAATAACGAATTATATTTGTTAGACTCTTAAATAGGGGGAGCAGCTATTCTGAGACAAGAAACAAAAAAATCAAGAAACAGCTGCCTGTAATGTTGGTACTTAGCTGGACAACCACTCTAAGAGAAAACCCAGGACAAAAATCAGGCTTAAGGTAACAGCGGAACATGCGGACTCGTAAATACTAAACTGTGTTGGAGGAAATTACCTCCAAAATTACAATTAAGAACGAAAACACAGTTTAAATGATAAGAATATCCAAACATTTAAAAGACTTCTAATAATACTAACAGACTGTCATTTGTTGTTATACAATACTAAGTGTTGTGTAACTTGACTAAAACACCAAAGTTATCACATTATTTGTGGCAAGACTATAAACATACAAACAAAATGAAAACACTTATACATTATACAAACTTATGAAAAACAACTCCGCCATGATGTTTATTAGAAAACTAATTTTATTAGTGCACTTAAACTCTACTACAATTTGTATTTATAAATAATTAAAACATTATTTATTGAATGTACTCCAAAGAAAAGGCTATATCAGAGATATCAAACTAACAAAGGGAACTTGAGATAAACTATTGAGGTTTGGAGTGGTTGTACGAGTGCTGTTGTACTATTTACTTGATCAAGAACTCTTCAAATAAGGAGAGCACAATAGGACAATAAATTAAGAGATCTTCAGTGCACGGCTATCACTTTCAACCCCATCGTCTGTCGTCATATAAGCTACAAGGTCGGCCATAATTTACAGCCAGTTCGCCGTTTTACAGATAGTATACAGTTTTTAATTAAACCTATAGGCTATATGGCTACGCATTTTTATCGTATTTTTTTTTACAATTACTAAAATGAAAATTACAAAATGTGTTGTTTTTTTTCCTCCAAAAGATAGCTCTTTAAAATTGTTGGGGAAAAAAGTAGTTTTGTGTTCTCCAACAGTGGTGTAGCCAGGATCGTCTCAAGGGGGGTTCCAATTTTTACCCGGGGACAAACTTTCGATGTGCATCCCCCTAAAACTTTTGATTTGCACCCCCCTCAAACTTTTGATTTGCACCCCCCCATACTTTCGATTTGCACCCCCCTCATACTATGCCACTATGCCTACGCCACTGTTCTCCAATGTGGGCGAATAAGAGATTTTAACATCAATGCAGGAACACAAATATATCTCCAAACGTTACAGTATTGCCCTTTTAAGTACCATAAAAGTAATAAAAGCAGATTTCCTCGGTCCGAACAGCTGCTGTACATAGCACAGAAAAAAACAACTTTAGACGATACGATATTGCCCTGTTTTGTACAATAAAGAAACAGCTTTTCCTTGTTCCGAACAGCTATAGCGTAGAAAAACAACCTAAGACTATACAACATTGCCTTGTTTTGTACTAAAAGAAACAGCTTTTCCTTGGTCCGAACAGGTATAGCGTAGAAAAACAACCTAAGACTATACAACATTGCCTTGTTTTGTACTAAAAGAAACAGCTTTTCCTTGTTCCGAACAGCTATAGCGTAGAAAAACAACCTAAGACTATACAACATTGCCTTGTTTTGTACTAAAAGAAACAGCTTTTCCTTGGTCCGAACAGGTATAGCGTAGAAAAACAACCTCAAGCGATACTTTATTGCCCTACGTTGTACCATAGAACCCCCCCCCCCCCCCCCCAGCTTTTCCTTGTCTGGAACAACTAGAATATTCTTTAGCGTAGAAAAAAAAAACAGCAACCTGAGACGATACTACATGGCTGTGCTGGTGAGCTGACAAAGAAACAGAAAGTGTTGTAGTTCTATTGACCCCCCCCCCTCCTGCCCTTCTGTAAAAAAAAATAACCAGCGCTATAAATAAACCCAACCTGTTATTGCCGTGTTTTATCGCGACCATCTACTGATACGGCCTGCACTCCACACACTACGGACGCAGGGGCGGGAGATTTCAGCCGGTGTAAGGGGCCACACTCCAGGTCAGGGGTCAATATCTGTTGTACACTAAAAAATCTGGCCCGAACTATTGAACACGTGATTACAAGGGTCAAAGGTCGTTGTTAGGACCGCTGGTAGGAAAGGAACAATAGGTTTTAGGTTTGTATCAGTATCAGGGTACTTTGTCACGATATTCTAAACCAATGTGTTGGTACTTCTATGGTCGCTGAGGGCTGTAGCGAGGACTTGCAGTTCTCGCTCCTGATATCGTTAAATATTCTCCATCGCGATAACCATAGCTATGACCAGAGGTGTAGCGAGAGGGGGCGGGGGGTGCGGCCCGCTCCGGGTGACACCATTTAGGGGGGGGGGTGACACCAAGGCAAAAAATAGCAAAAAATAGAGAAAAAATTGAGGGGGGGGGGTGCAAATCGAAATATTGAGGGGGGGGTGCAAATCGAATGTTTTAGGGAGGGGGTGCAAAGTTGCTACGCCTCTGGGGGGTGACACCATTAAGTGCCGCACCGGGTGACACTCGACCTCGCTACGCCACTGGCTATGACATTGTTACTCTTTCGGATCTGATGACGAATAAAGCAGATGAAGTAGAGAAGTGAATTTGGTATATGAAGGGATAATATCGAGAGTTACCTGCCCAGCCGCTTCTAAAAAGCGTATGCTCCAAGTTGTTTAGAAACGAAGACAATGAAGAAAAAACAAAGTAGATTTGTAATGATGCAGTTGAGTGCACTTCCTTGTCTTAAGTAACACAGGTCCTTTAATATCCTTACCAAAGTGAATCAAAATTTAATACACACAAACAAATAAAACCAATTTGAAAAATCCAGCGAGGTTTTTGCCGTCCCAATTCTAATAAACACAACACAGAGAATGTACTGTTAGTTAAAATGCAGCACACACATTTACAACGAAAGAAATCTGATACAACCCCCCCCCCCCCCTCGGCAGTTTACAAAACCCGGACCAAGAATACCACAATGTCGTTGACACAGTGAGATGGAGATGCAGGAGGGGGGAGGAGGGGTGTGTGTGTGGGGGGGGGGAAGGGGTCTTTTAAAAACAACAAACAGCCTGTAAAGTTTGAGCACACACAAGGACGAAGATAGAATGCGCGGAGAAAGGAGAGTGAGAGTCGACACTAGTGCAACAAGGTTACATGTTTTCTCTGGCAATCCTAAAACTACGTGAAGAAATAACTAGGGCCGGGGGATGGTGGGAGGGGAGGGGGCGGGAAGAGATCAAGGGAGCTAATCAATAAACCCAGGATTTGGAAATCTGAAGGGGTGATTATTGATATAAAAAAATAGTAACGATAACTCGCCGTCGATAACTCGTGATACAAGATGATCTCCCTTTAATAATGCGTAAATAAAATCATTACCCCCAATCAATTTCAGGGCATGCCTACATACAAACAGATGAAATTTCAAACTTTTTAAAAGTCTAAACTTTGGACCAGAAAAAAAAATTGTGGGCCAAGTTTTTAGAAAGACAAAATATTTTTTTGATGAGTTGTATTCCTGTCACTAAAACAGCGGAGTTTAAAGGGTTATCTCCCTGACCTTTGAACCTTGACATCTGGGCCGTACATCCATCTGACCAGCACGTGGCCTGCACTACAGTGGCCAAATATTTGCACGAGATAACATTGTGGCCCGAGCAACCCGCTGACGTCATAGGAGAGCCTTACGTCCAACAGGCGGTCACGTCGGTAGTCGTCTGCAGTAAAGTGACGCGAATAAATGACGTCACGCTTTGGTTAAGATGACATCTTCGACCACTGTCACGCAGCGTCATAATATATCAGACCCCCCCCCCTTAATATAAACTACATCCAATTTTTTAAACAGGGATTTCTTACTTTTTTTTTTCTTTTTTTTTTTTTTTTGAAATATCAAAACAATTAATTTTAACCCCTTTCAAAGAGCGTTTAACAGGGATTTCTTACTTAAACGCTCTTTGAAAGGGGTTTAAATTAATTGTTTTGATATTTAAAAAAAAAAAAGAAAAAAAAGTAGTAGAGTATTAGATAGTTAGTAGTATTGTTATATCAGGTTTAGAGTTAAGAGTCAGAAGTTATAAAGTTAGGGTCAATGTCGGAGTTAGATAATTGTATATATTAGTATTTTGTTTGCTGAGAGTAGCCTAACGCCCCTGTAAAAAGAAGAGTCCATTATAATCAATTAGCATTGGTATTATGGGTCACTAAAAAATATACCCCAGGGAGGGAAGCAAGTCTGACTAGAGACAGTCTGATAATACGAGGAAGTATTACAAAACGACAGTTTCACAAAACGACAGTTTCATTCTATCCGGTCGGAAATTTGGTTTTAATTTACTTCACGCTTCCCCGGCAACAGAGGCGTATAGAAGGGGAGGGGGAGCGGTACATATGTCCCCGGGCGCCGACCGTAGGGGCGCCAAAATGGGTTGGAAAAAAAAATTAAAAGCTCATTTTAGCTGCAGTTTTGAATTATAAACATAAAAAATATATGGGGGGGGGGGGGGGAGGCGCCAAATAGAAAGTTTGTCCCCGGGTGCAACATTTTGGGAATGTTTAGAGCTAACCCGAAAGTCTCGAGTTCGGATCCTCGGCTCGAGTCTGTAGGACGTCACTGAGTCCACCAAACTCTGGTGGGTACCTGACTCACGTTAGAGAAAGTAAAGGTGGCTGGGTATAGCGCTGACCACACCATCCCACTGAATGCCGATGTTGTTGAAGATCTGTATGCCCCATGTGTTTTGGACACGAACGGGGAAAAACGATGATTTTAGATAAAGTAAAGCGACATGGTAAAGTGCTGACCACATTATCCCTTCATAGCAGAGGTAGCAGAAACATTTGCACCATGGGCTGCCAG